CCAGAATCCCCAAAGGAAAAATGGAGACGAGATTACAACGTGACCATTGCTCATGGGGAGTGCTTTCTCACTTTCCTTCTCTCAGTCTCTGTCATCTCTGGTGAGTATAAATACCCTCTAACAAATTTAAAAAAAAAAAGTGGTGGCACGTTACTTCCAAGATTAGGTTATAAAAGACAAAAAGGGTGGCAGCAGATGGCATAGCAGTTATGTTGCTGGATGCCCACTTGGCCGACCATGATTCCAGTCCCAGACCCAATGGCTTGAAAATCACACTGGGTGCATGTACATGTGTGCCCAAGATCCTGGAAGGAGAATGAAGGAGAAAGGATTACAGCCTGGCCATCCCCCCAGGAGAGCGATTTCTCACTTTCTTTCTTACCGTTTCTGTCTCTGTCTCTCTCTGGCAAGCACACACACCCTAAGGCAAAAACCTCTTAAAAAGAAAGAAAAAAGGGACTAACATCTTGGTGTCCCTGCCTGCATCCTACCTCCCCTCTTTCTCTTTTTCTCCTTGTCACCTGCTCTGAGAAAGCCAGTACTTGGAAGGAACCAAGACCTATGCCAACAGCCACTTGAGTCAGCTTGGAAGTAGAGCCATCAGCCCCAGTCACAGCTTTGGATAGCTGAGGCGCTGGCCAGCAGTTTGCAACCTCATGAAACCCTGAGTCAGAACCACCAGCTAAGCCCTGCCCAAATTCTTTTTTTTTTTTTTTTTTTGAGAGGTTTTCGCTATAGGGCACGTGCGCTCTCCAGACAGACAGAGAGACAGAAAGTGAGAAATCACCCCCCAGTGGGGATGACCACGCCGCAATCCCTTCTCCTCCATTCTCCTCTCGGGATCTTGGGCACACACGCACATGTGCCCGGCGTGAGTTCTAAACCACCGGGTCCAGGACATGAACCGTGGTCGACTATGTGGGAATTTAGCAACATAGCCATTACGCTAACTGCTGGTTCCCAGCCCTGCCCAAATTCTTGATCCTCAGAAACCATACGAGATAATACAGTTTTATTATTTAAGCTGCTAAATTTTGAAGTGGTTTGTTATGCAGAAATAGATACCATTACACACTTCCATTAAAGCTCTTCATTATTCAAATCTTTTAATATCTGTTTTTGGCTATTACTTGCACTGTTAAACCCGTAATCCATACAGTTCACTTGGCTGAGTCATTAAGTTGGTTGAAAAATACCATGTTCTGGCTCTCATTTTCCAACCCAATGTTTGGTATAATAAACATAGATTTTGAAGTCATCTTTTTATATTGGGTCCTATATTAGAATGTACTTAAAAGAGTTGCTGTGTGACAAGGAGCCTTGTTTTTTTAGATTATTCCACAGATTCTTTGCCACCTATTTTATATAAGTTGTAATTACTACACAAGTGATTATAGAATTACTATGAAGTATTCCAAGAGAAAACAGACAGCGTAACAACTGTTCTCATGCTGAGACTTCACCAAAGACGCTTCTTGTCTATTACTCGTAACTCTGTGATACTTATTAATTATACAGGATAATAACAGTGTGTGTTTTAAAGAGCCATGTTTTTAGGATTAGTTAACTATACACTCAAACCTGAGATACAGCTTCTCAGCAGATCTGATGTCAAGGTCATGAATCGGAGTCTCCAGACTCCTACTCTTCCATTCCAGTGCCTCCATGGTATTCTGAAAAAGAAGGTCAGAGAAGTATCTGGGTTTACTTTTTCTATTTCATTTTTGTCCTGCTAAACCAATGTCTGTAGCAAATCATTCCTTTACCATCACTGTCAACTCAGAGATAGTTATCATGAATAAGGAACATGGCAGGAAAGTGGAAAGCCAACTGGTCGAGAGACTTTTTTCTCTTTTTCCTTTAAGTGTTTTCCTAAACATGGATTTGCATTAACTCTTAGGCTATCAATCTCATGGGTGGGTGTGTGTGTGTGTGTGTGTGTGTTTGAGAGGTTTTTGCTATAGAGCACGTGTGCTCGCCAGAAAGACAGAGAGAGACAGAGAGACAGAAAGCGAGAAATCACCCCCCAGGGGGGATGGCCACACCGCAATCCCTTCTCCTCCATTCTCCTCTCAGAATCTTGGGCATGCATGCACACGTGCCTGACGTGAGTTTAAGCCACCGGGTCTGGGACTCGAACCGTGGTAGACTACATGAGAGTATAGCAACATAGTCATTACGCTAACTGCTGGTCCCTATAGCTGAATTTTAAAAGGCAGATGTTCTCAATAAAGGAAAATATTGATAAGCCCTATGTTGTTTCACACTGTTGTTTATAAAACGTAACTAGCTTTTTTGTTTTACTTTCACCATGATTTAAAATAATAATAAAAATGGCTAGTTGAGGAATTAACCTGTTCTTTGTTTCTCCTCCCTAAATGGACTGGAGGTTATTCTGAAATGTTAGGAGTCCCAGCCTCAGTGATACAGGCTATGGTATATACTGAACAGCAGTGCCAAGACCACAGGGCCAACCAAGAGTTTGGATCTTGAGTCTGTCTGAAAGCATGCCAGGTCTATACACACCTAAGATCCCGACAAGCTAGAAGGAGGAAATCACAGCGTAAGACACCCTATTCAGGGCGCCCATCCAAACAATGATACTTTCTCTCATGAATGAAATAAATAAACTTTTAAAAAGGAAAAAAAAGAACCAGCCACTGTCACACAGTGATAAGACAAGTGCCCTGCAAGACTAGAAGTCATATGGGCTACTGCAGGTTTGGGTCCCCCATTTTGGCCTGAAAACATGGCAGGCTGCACATGGGTTCCCAGGATTCTGAGGAGCTAGAGAACTAGGCAAAGGCAATTGTAACATGATAAGACCTTGTCAACCTCCTTCTCTCGTGCGTGCTTTCTCATGCACACGTGTACCTTCTATCATATTTTTTTTCCTTAGAATTTTCTTTTTAATTTGGAGCAAGAAAACCTAGGATTCTATCTTGGACTCTTATCTTTCATACCTCCTCTCATTTTAATTCTCTCCACTTCTCTCTCTATCTCTCTCTTTCATCTTAAACTGTATTTTGTCTGGTACTCTCACACACACACACACACACACACACACACCTATAATAGGGTTAGAAGATGGTAACTTAAACAGATTTTTCTCTTCATGTTTCTAATATACGAATATTGTCCAAATATTCCAATAACAACATAACTTAAGATGGTTGTAGTCAAGCCAGAAATAAAATCCAGGGCTTTTAACTGTCCTTTGAACATTTGCCAACTGATTGTCACATAAGGCTAAAAGGTTGGTTAGCCTTAAATTGGGACAGCCAGTGAGGAAGAAAGCCTCATATTTTCAGCACTGAAACATACTTCCATGTTAAAGAAATCCCATGTTTGCTTTATTTTCTTAAGGATTGTTTTAGAGAATAGCCATTAAATTGCAAATTATCTTTTCCTTTCAAATAGGTTCTTATTTGTGGATATTAATGCTAAGAAAACTACTGATAAAAAGTTTTTTAATGGATGACAGTTTTCATAACGATTTAATTTGAAAGCTTGAATTGTACAGTACTTTATTATGATTTTTGAGTTCCCTCAACCATGTCCTCTTTATTTTTTTAAATGTCTCAAAAAACTTTCATATCCATGTAATGATTGTTAATGTCACTCCTTTTATGTGGGTGTAATATCTAATACTCATATGTACTGGGTTGTTGGAAAAGTCTTAACGCATGACTTTTCTGATGACCCAATAGTAGTATTTGAAGCTCTTCCTAGATGACATAAAGAAAGAGGGAACCTTAAGAGAGTGTCTTTCTACCCACCTCCTAATCTGGAGACCCCTGCTTGGCCTAGACCAGACACTGTAGCCCTAGACCACCTACATTCTCTTTTCACCGTCTTTCTCCTCTCAAAGCTCGCCAAGCCCTGAAGATGATGAAGGGAAGGATGGGCCATCCACTGTGGCACGGTGGTAACAATGCACAGCAATGCTAAAGCCACATGGAGGGTCCCCGTTTATGTTCCAAGGTCTTCCTGTACACACCAGGAGCACATGCGTGTGCCTGGATTCCTGGCTAGCTCAGGCTGAGTATGGATTATGACATGAAGACCCTGTTGGAGTGCCTGTTTCTCTGCCTCTCTCTCCTTTTTTTTTTTTCCCCTCTCTCTGAATAAATAACTGTGTAATTTTTTTTTTTAATGTAAGGATAGAGGGTAGTTAGCAATTGAACAAAATAAATGAAGGAATGGAATTTGGCTGCAGGTAGAGGTTTTTGTCTGCACCTCTAATCATGATTGCCTCTGCCCTCTTGATCCATCAACAGTTGAGTGCAGTTTCATATGTACAGATCGCAGGTAGGCCTGGATTAGAATGTGATCATACTTATTTTTAGCATCCTTCACATATCCTCTGGCACTTTGTTTGGTCTCTATGTAAACTCATAAAATTATCACGATTAACATATTTTAGAAATGCAAATGCCGTAACAGAAAGAAAACAGGCACAAGTGCTGAGATGAGTATTCGTAAGTAGACATAAGCAGAGGTAGTAAGTATGGTGGCTAGGAACACGAACTGTGGAGCCAGGCTGCCTGAGTTTAAATCCCAGTTCTGATAACTGCCTAGATGAATAACCTGGAGCAAGTTACTTAACCCCTCTGTTTTCTCACATAACACTGCCTTATAGGGCTGTAAATTTTTTAAATAACTCTTTAATTTTATTTATTAATATTATTATTTTATTTCACCGGAGAGAGAAGGAAAGTGAGAAAGCAAGCCAGGCATGGTGATGAGTAGCTATAGTCCCAGCTACTTGGGAGGCTGAGGCAGGATTGTGACACAGGGAAACCATGTCTTCCAAAAAAAGAAAAAAATGTAATACGTAGCTAGCACTCTTAATTATTAACACACAGTCTTTCTGATGTCTCAAGCTGATTTGTAGGCAGAAGGTTACATTTATACTAATAACCACTACCTTTAACGTATGAACTACTAGATAGCAAATCCTCTCCTCAGTAGTTTTTTATTTTTTTTCTCTTTCCTAGGCTCAACACAGAGATACTTTCATTGAAGAACGCTATGGAAAATATAACATCAGTGATCCCTTAATGGCTCTACAGAGAGATTTTGAAACACTGAAGGAGAAAAATGATGGTGAAAAGCAGCCGGTCTGCACAAACCCTCTGTCCATCCTGAAGGTGGTGATGAAGCAGTGCAAGAACATGCAGGAGCGCATGCTGTCCCAGCTGGCTGCTGCCGAGAGCAGGCACCGAAAGGTGAGTTTGCTTGGCTGGTGTGCACTACGTAAAGCCTGCAAAGATGACAGATGGGCCCGGCTGAAGTGACTCCCACTGCTAAGACAGTACCTTGTGGGTTGGGACCACCTGGAAGTCCGGGTTTGATTCCCAGTCCAACCTAAAGTCTGGGCATGGTGACATGCGCCTGTAATCCCAACCACCCAAGAGACTGAGGCAGGAGGATCACAGCTTGAGGACAGCCTGGGCAACATAGTGAGACCCTATCTGAAGGAGCCAGGTGTGGTGCACACCTGCAGTCCCCACTACTCAAGATGCTAAGGCAGGAGGGTCACAACACAGCAAGACCTTGTCTTAAAAACACGTCGGAGGAGACTATAAATAAGGATGGGTGCTTTCTTGTCAGCTGCCAGTTTCACAATAATTCAGTTGGGTGCAGAAAACCCCTTAGCTTATAACATAGAGCCAGGAGATAGAAAAGCAAACACTAGTTTTTCCAAATGTTAAATTAGGAAACATGCCAGACACATTATTTAAGATGGTATTTAATATGTCACTCCAAAACACTTGTTATGTTTTTTCAGCTCTTGATCATCAGAATTTTAGAAACAAACTAGGGTTTGGCCAAGCTTGCAGCCGAACGGCCCATTCGCTCTTTGCCTACTTAAGTAATAAGTAGAAAGACTAACAGGTATTTAGGGAATGCTGTATCAGAGAGAGAAAGAAAACTTACCTAGCTAAACACCAGAGCCAATAGATTATTTTCATTTATTCTTAGTTTTGAGTTTCACTACATTTTATTGCTCATGAAACCATAAAAAGTCCCTAGAGTTGTTTACCCTAAATCTGTTCTACACTATTAGGAAAGTTGCGTGTGTGTGTGTGTGTGTGTGTGTGTGTGTGTGTGTGTATTTGGTTCCATGTCTAACAGCTCCTAAGTGTGTGTGTGTGTGTGTGTGTGTGTGTGTATTTGGTTCCATGTCTGACAGCTCCTAAGTTAGGAAGGCAAACCTGTGCTTCCCTCTACCTCATCTTATTGGAATTCCAGTGCTTGTTCATTTATTCACTACTTGTCATTTACTGCTCATACTTGGCCTGAAAAAGATGCTAGGCTAGAACCTGCACTTTTAAAAGCTGTCAGCTTAGATTTCTAGCAACAAGAGGGGTATCACTGCATTTAGTAAGAAACATTTTAATTTGAAAAATTGGACTAACAGCTGTAAAATTTGATGGGCCTTAGTTCAGTTTATGGCTTACCTGCATTAGAACCATCTGCTTCATCACATCTGATAAATTGTCCAGGCTCCACGTCTTGCCTGTTATCTTTTCTTTTCCTTCATGGAGTCCAAATGAAAGGCCAGAGTGGAGCTTCTTACCTGTGGATGAGCCTTACAGAGGTTCTGTAATCCCCTAGAAAACATACAGAATGTCAAAAGTTCATCCATTTTTGTGAGAAGTGCACTATTTCCGTAGCTTTAATGAAATCTCATAGTTGCCTAAGACCTAGAGAAACTTTACCTCTGGTCTAGAATGAAGTAATCTGAAAATATTTATACCATAGTTCAAAAGGTGTCATTGGGAGCCAGCAGGCGGCTGGATTCCACATGGCTGATTGTGCGGTTTGAGTCCCAGAACTAGCAGCCTGAAAATCACGCCAGGCACATTTGCAGGCATGCCCAAATCTCAAGAGAAAAATGGAAAAGGGACTGTGGTGTGGCCATCCCCTCTTGGGGGTGATTTCTCACTTTCTTTCTTTCTCTCTCTCCCTCTGTCTCTGGCAAGCACACTCATCCTATACCAAACTTAAAAAAAAAAAAAAATTAATGGATCAGCATTAGTTGCCTAAATTCTTCCTTTTTCCTTTTGTTTTTTTTAATTGCCAGAGGGTACAATGCTCACCAGAGAGAAAGAGAGAAAGGAAAAAGCCACAATCTGCACTCCTCCTTTTCTCCATCCTGTCAGGATTTGGGGTATGCGTGCACACATGCCCAGCATGTTTGTTAAGCTGCCAAGTCCCGGATTCAAACCATGTGATCAGCCATGTGGGATCTGGCTCCCTTAACCACCAGTCCATGTGGGCCAATCTATTAAGTGTTTTATCAAACTAGAACACTGACTTTGTTAGAGATCACATAGTACCTGTAGGCTTATACTAGGTTGTTGGGAAAGTCGTGACATATTTTTCTTCTATGTTCAGTTTTAGTTTGCCCTAGAGAGTCCTCGATTTACACCTGTTACCTTAGTATAGTTGTTATTTGTATTAATTTATTTATAATAGAGCTTGTGTATATGCACGAGAGAAAAGAGAGACACCCTCCAGGGTCCAGTCACACTGCAGTCCCCTCCCTTTAGTCCTCCAGCCCTTCAGATCCTGGGCACTCACGTACATGCCCAGCACATTTCAGGCTGACCAGGCTGAGGACTCAAATCTCAGTCACCATGAGGGATCCACCTTCACTTGAACAGTGCTTTACCTCTGCATCACAGAGCGAGCCTTTGGCACAGTTATGAACAATACTTTGACTCTAAGAAATGTTCTCTTCTGAACAGTAAATTATGTGATTACTCTGCTTATAATGAAAAATATAAGAGTTTCATAGTCTTCTCATCCTCCCAAAATTCAGAGGCAGTCACTTTTATCTTTTAGACATTGATTTTGGTAGCTAGTCTCCATGTTTCTAAATAATATACTGTTCTCTCCTTATCAGTTTTAGATATTTATACTTCTTCTGTGATAGTTGGATATATAGTTATATGACACCCCACTTCCATTTCCTCCCCATCATCTTCCCATAACAGACTAACCCTCTTTCCTCACCCCTGTTCTCTGTCACATCTAGTATTCCCAAATCCCGAGCCCGTCACATCCGGTTTCTTCAGAGGATGAGCATCTGGCTGAACCCAGGCAGTAGATCCCTCACTGCCAACGTTCTGTGTGTAGGAATAAGGTTGAGGGGGACAGAGAATTCTAAAAATAGTTGGAGCCAGTCCTTCTGTTTTCTCTCCCATTTCGCCCCTCCTCTGCAGTGCCTGCTGCCTACAGGTTCCCTCTCTCAGAGCTCCGAAGAAAAATGGCTTCCTGCCCCTCTTCCTACCACTCCTCCAGCCTTTTTCCTTCTTCAAAATGTTATTAAAATGTGTCTGCTAAAATCTTGCTATTTGTGTTTGTGGGGTTTTAGTCTTTTCATTCCATTTCTCTAATTTTAGAGGGCTTGTAGAGAGAGAGAATGACCTACCACCTTTAGTCAAGTCTTTCTGTAAGATCACAAAAATAATGTTTTAAACCAGGAGGAAGTCTACAAAATTCTTTTCATGTTTAAAGTGTGTGTTGTTTATCTGTCTTTATTCATGGTAGAACACATACACTCACCTGTGAGAATGAGAGAGAGAGATGAGCACTCTCTGCAGGATCTGGCCACACCGTGATCCCCTTCCTCCAGTCCTCCAGCCCGTTGGATCTTGGGTGCGCACACACATGCCCAGCGTGTTTTACACTGACCAGGGATTTGAACCACAGTTTTATATGGGATGTGGCTTCTTTGCATTGCATTATCACTGTGACACAAAGCTGGCCCTCATTTTTATTTTTAAAGTGTTGTTTAGTGTCACAAAAAGTTTCTCTCCCCATTCATAAAAATTGTTAGTAAGGAAAAATAATGAGAAATGGCCATTGGCCCTATCCTGGAGGTCCGGTCCAAGAAACCTCTGAAGCACAAACAGAAGCTATGGTAGTGAGTAATCCGTTGCCATTCAGAATATCATACAGTTGTAGGCAGGAGTATGTGGAAAACATACCTTTAAATTTACATTCTCCTTAGAAGTGTGCTTATTCCTTTGGCATTAAGATAAGTGGGACAAGAGTAAGCAGGTTAATTTAAAAATCTGAAAAATCTCCACTTGATCCCAACAATTTAACCTCTCTATATATAGGGTCAGTCAAGAGAGTCTTTTTGCCTCTTACCCACCTATACAAATTGCTTATTATTAATTAAACGCAAGTCAGACACCACCTATTTGTAATGTTTCAGGCTCATTCGTTAACGCCTCTGGTGATTTGAACATTGAGTGGAGAACCTCAGCTTTCACCTTTCTATGGTCCTGTCTTGCTGTCGCCCACACCCGGCCCCTAGTCATACCAAACTGCCTGCAGTTTTCTGGACTTTCTGTTAATTCTCTGCAGCCTTCCTTCAGTATTTGATTAGTTGCTCTCTTCTGTTCTTTCCATTCTGTGCATACTTCAAGTAAAGTAAATTATCTTATTGTTTTCTAGCACATAGCTCACATGTCTTTCACCCACTAGACAATATGCTCCTTGATGACCTTGGCTGGGATTTACTTACTTACTTACTTATTTATTTATTTATTTATTTATTTAATCTCTAGACAATCTTAAGCACTTAATATTGGTTGTATTATAACTATGATTCCTTTGTATTTGGAAATTAAATTTTTAAAACTCTTTAAAGGTGATCCTAGACCTTGAGGAGGAAAGGCAGAGGCATGCGCAGGACACAGCAGAAGGAGATGATGTCACCTACATGTTGGAGAAGGAAAGAGAGAGGCTGACCCAGCAGGTAATCGAGGGAGAGGGATTCACAGCAGCACGTGCCTGCAATGTGTTTCTCAGAGATTATTCTGTAGGGTGGAAATTGGTGTCGCTCAGAAAAGGGCTATGTGGTCAAATAAGTCTGGGAACTACTAGATTAGACAAAACTAAACAGGTCTTCAACTTGAAATTTGTTAGAATCTTCCATATACAAAAACACATTGTGAGTCTTCAAGAATAAGATGCTGTGTTCTGTGCTTGGCAAATCTAAGTTTTCATAAAATCCATATTTTATGTAGATCACACACTGTGGGATTATTATTCCATAGCACAGGCTTTGGAGAACACAGCTTGGAACTCTAGCTCTGAAACTTTTTTTTGACTTAGAAGCCCCAGTAAGAAATACATTTTAGGGGCCAGCAGGTGGCATGGTAGTTAAAGTGCTGGACTCCCACGTAGCTGACAATGGTTTGAGTCTCAGACCAGGAGCTTGAGAATCACACCAGGTACATGTACGTGCATGGCCAAAAGCCAAAGAGAACGGAGAGGGAGGGATTGCAGCATGATTATCCCATAGGGGGGTGTGGTGGTGATTTCTCACTTTTCCTCTCACCGTCTCTCTATCTCTGGCAAGGGCATGCACCCTGTGGCAAAAACCTTTTAAAAAGGTGCTATATCACAATCCAGTATATGTCTATATATACAAACACACCTGAAACAAAAAATTTGTGAAATGATACATAACTCTTACAGCCTACAATATACATTGATGTTATTTCTTCTATTTCATTTTGTTTTAATTCTCAGCATAGTTCACCAAATCAGTTTCCCCATCCATTAATGGATCTCAGAGTTTGCAAAATACTGACTAAATACTTTCCTTGTCATTCAAAGTCCCTATACCTTAATAGGGGTGGGAAAACAATTAAAACAGACTATATTTGTATAAAAAGTATAACTGAAATACTTCCATTTAGGGGAAGATCTGGGGCTTGAATCCCAGGACCTCCCAATCATGCTAGGCATGTGCAAACACAACTGTTTATATTTGTTCTTTTTTTTTATATATGCTAGAGGAGTGTGCCTTTTTGTGTGTCCACAAGAGAGAAAGAGTGAGAGAATGCCTCCCAATGGGATCTGGTCACACCATAATCCTTTTCCCTCCACTTCATCCCATCAGGATCCTGGGCATATACTTAACAGGCATGAAATACCCAGGGCCAAGATTTGTCATCCCTGTGGGATCCAGCTTCCTCTGCTGTGGGCTGGCCCCTGATCATTTTTAAGTCCAAAGAAAATTATTACTGAAAAACTTCAAAAGTTTAAAACTTTATGGGGCCAGCAGGTGGCATAGCAGTTAAAGGCACTGGGATTCCCACATGGCCAGCCACAGTTTGAATCCCAGATCTGGTAGCTTGTTTTCTCACTTTCCCTTTCTCTTTATCGTAGTGTCTCTCTCTGGTCAAATTAAAGAAGTGATAATAACAAATGGAATAAATAAATAAATAATTTTTTTTTAAGTTTAAAACTTGCAAAGTTCTGTTTTCAGCAGCATTCACCACAGAAGCTGGTTTATATAGCTTTCTATTTTGATTAGGTCTAATGGTGTGTGCTCTCCACATACCTAACATACAATGATATTCCCTTTAATAACCCTGAGATAATGTGAGAACTGAAAGTGCCTCCAAAAGAAAGATTAAATCCCAGTATCTGCATTTTTGTATTGGGTGTTGCAGTACTTCAGAAATACTTGACTAAGCCCCACAGTATAAATGGTAATTCTGTGTACCAGAGAACAGCTAACCAAGATGCAGTACTCAGTCAATAGTTTTATTGATATCTATTGGGTTGTCAGGAAAGTCACGATGCATTTTTGCATTAAAAAAAAAAAAAACAGAAAAATATGTCATGATTTTCCTGACAACCTAATAGTGCTTTTCTTACTCTAATCAAGATGTGCGGTGTCATTTTTTTCTAGTTGGAGTTTGAAAAGTCCCAAGTGAAAAAGTTTGAAAAAGAACAGAAGAAGCTCTCCAGTCAGCTGGAGGAGGAACGCTCCCGTCACAAGCAGCTCTCATCCATGTTGGTGCTCGAGTGCAAGAAAGCCACCAGCAAGGCAGCCGAGGAGGGGCAGAAGGCAGGAGAGCTGAGCCTGAAACTGGAGAAGGAGAAGAGCCGGGTCAGTAAACTGGAGGAGGAGCTGGCAGCTGAGAGGAAGAGAGGCTTACAGACTGAGGCCCAGGTGGAAAAGCAGTTGTCGGAGTTTGACATCGAAAGGGAGCAACTGAGAGCAAAACTGAACCGAGAAGAGAACCGGACTAAAAGTCTGAAAGAAGAGATGGAAGGTTTGAAGAAGATACTCAAGGACCTAGAGGCTTCCCACCAGCACAGTAGCCCTAATGATCAGTTGAAGAAGCCAGCAACCAAGTCATGCACTGGTGTGTTTTTCAAGCTGCCAGGTCTGGGATTTGAACCACACAGTTGACAATGAGGGTTCTAGCTCCCTGAACCACAAGGCCACAAGATTGGCCCTATAGTGAATATAGTAATAAAATATAATACCTCTTACTCATTTGATTGAGTCATTGGGAAAGTCATGATGCATTTTTGCATTAAAAAAAAAAAAAACAGAAAAATATGTCATGATTTTCCTGACAACCTAATAGTGCTTTTCTTACTCTAATCAAGATGTGCGGTGTCATTTTTTTCTAGTTGGAGTTTGAAAAGTCCCAAGTGAAAAAGTTTGAAAAAGAACAGAAGAAGCTCTCCAGTCAGCTGGAGGAGGAACGCTCCCGTCACAAGCAGCTCTCATCCATGTTGGTGCTCGAGTGCAAGAAAGCCACCAGCAAGGCAGCCGAGGAGGGGCAGAAGGCAGGAGAGCTGAGCCTGAAACTGGAGAAGGAGAAGAGCCGGGTCAGTAAACTGGAGGAGGAGCTGGCAGCTGAGAGGAAGAGAGGCTTACAGACTGAGGCCCAGGTGGAAAAGCAGTTGTCGGAGTTTGACATCGAAAGGGAGCAACTGAGAGCAAAACTGAACCGAGAAGAGAACCGGACTAAAAGTCTGAAAGAAGAGATGGAAGGTTTGAAGAAGATACTCAAGGACCTAGAGGCTTCCCACCAGCACAGTAGCCCTAATGATCAGTTGAAGAAGCCAGCAACCATGTCCAAAGGCACAGCAACCGAGCCTCCCATGCTAGTTTCTGTATTTTGCCAAACAGAGAGCTTTCAGGCAGAAAGAACCTATGGGAGCAGCACAGCGAAAATGACAAACACAGGGTTGGCTGGTCCCACTACCCCCCCTTACTCTTATGCAAAAACCAATGGCCATTGTGATCCAGAGATACAAACTACTAGGGAAGTGACTACAGGCAACAATATAGAAAACCAAGTTCCTCCACGAGAGAAATCTGTGGCATTGGCCCAAGAGAAGCCAGTTGAGAATGGTGGCTGCCCTGTGGGCACTGAGACTCCTGTCCCAATGTCTAGTCACCTCCCTTCCAGTGGGAGCTCGCTGTCTCCCAGCAGCACTGCCTCCTCTTCTCTGACATCCTCGCCATGCTCTTCCCCTGTACTAACTAAGCGTTTACTGGGATCATCAGCTAGCAGCCCCGGTTATCAGTCATCTTACCAAGTAGGGATCAACCAGCGGTTCCATGCAGCTCGGCACAAATTTCAGTCACAAGCAGACCAGGACCAACAAGCCAGTGGTCTGCAGAGCCCTCCATCCAGGGATCTGTCCCCCACCCTCCTAGACAACTCTGCTGCCAAGCAGCTGGCCCGAAACACAGTCACTCAGGTGCTCTCCAGGTTCACTAGCCAACAAGGGCCAATCAAGCCTGTCTCTCCCAACAGCTCCCCCTTCGGCACAGACTATCGCAATCTGGCCAGCACTGCCAATCCAAGAGGTGACACCAGCCATTCACCTACTCCGGGGAAAGTGTCTAGTCCTCTGAGTCCCCTGTCTCCTGGAATCAAGTCTCCTACCATCCCCAGAGCTGAGAGAGGAAACCCTCCACCTATCCCACCCAAAAAGCCTGGCCTCACGCCTTCGTCATCTACCAGCACTCCTCTGACCAAAACTCATTCCCAGGCATCCTCACTGGGCACCACAGAAGACCTTGCTGGCAGCTGCTCTTCCAATGCCGTGGTAGCCAATGGCAAGGATGTCGAGATACTTTTGCCTACCAGCAGTTAGTCCCGGAGCGGGCATCTCCACATTTGACATTCCATCAGATTTCGTCCAAGAGCTCAGAGTCAGGCCACTGAGTCAGATTATGTTATTTATTTGGATAGTAGCTGAGACCATCTGTATAATACTTTTAGTGTACTTCACCTTTTTGTATTTTTTTAAGTAGAAACTGAGTAGTATTGATTTTTATGGCTCACATCTTTGTACTAAAGCTAGAAGGGCACCTCAAAGACGTCTCAAGCTCAGCAGTCACTGTCATATTGTGACGGAGAAAGCTAATTGGGTACCAGGTGGTGATTTGCTGTCTATTTTGGGACTAGAATCACTCAGCACTCATTTTGAATTATGCAGAGTGGTTCACGCAGATTTTTATTCCAGATGAACATGTTTTAAAAGTGCCTGAAATAAGACTGCCATATGAATGTGATTCTGCAGCAAAAACACAAAATGGATCATTTAATTGCAGAAAATGAGATCCTCTGTGAATTTTGAATGTTAAAAACCAACACTGCTTTTAATCCTCTGTTACTGTTTATAATAACAAGCTTTGTGTTCTGAAACAAGGCTAGATACATAGAATGGGAATCCTTCTAACGGTGGGTGTGAACTCACCACAAAGCTGAGCTTTATAGAGCCCTTGAGAAACCCTCCTGAGCACTAAGCAGTTAGGGTGCTGATTTCCTTGTACTTTTAAAAAATTAAGTCACTCCTAGTTTCCTGCATAAATCACATCCATTCAAAGAAGGTCTTCAGTTATCTACTGGTGTATAAGAAACTTCTGATTCTGATTACTATTACTTGAATAGGAAATGGTTATTCATTCTGTGTAAAAGTTTTACAACAGAATGGCATCTTTATTCTGTAATCAAAAAGCAATAACTTAAAATTCACTCTCTTTGTAATATAAGTCAGAATTATACCGGTTTTTATCAAATTGTTACATTTATTCTCCAAGCTGCCAGCACTTAGCATCTGTATCTATGGAACCAAATTAACATTTGCCTAAATGAAAGTATAAATGTATCTGTACAGAGACATACCCCTTTACGTGTTGAACATTCACGCACTTAAACACATAAATATTAGTGTGATTATATCTTTGGAGTTTGCAGTATAGTAAAGGACAAGTAGAATTGCACATTAAGATTACCTAGCAAGGCAGCTCGATGTGGCTGGGACCCAGTCAGTCAAAGGGGAGGAACCCTGTCCACAGGGAGGTAGGGGAAATGTCAGATGAAGCCCAGGTTTTCAGCATCATAAAGAGGCACAGCTAAACTAACCCATGTCACAAAACCCAACTGGTCATGTGAAAGAGGACCAAGTGAAACACACCTAAGAGTGGTGGCAGCCATAGCAAACTGAAGTGCCTAAGTCCCATGTGAAGAGCCGTGCCATTCAGCTCTGGCTGCTTGCTGCCGTGCAAGAATAGGAGACCAGAGTTACCAACTCTCCAGATGTTTAAACAGTGCTGGCTAAACACTTCTGTACCTGGATTTAGTTGCAGGTTGCCAAGTTGCAACCTCTTTTCACCATAGCAAATTGGCATGGACAGAAACCTCCCGATTTCTAGCTGTATAGGCCAGTAGCTGACAAAGTCCATAGAATATAACTGTCCTGTCTTCAAACAGGACTGTCCACAGCCCAGCTCAGACATGGTAGTTGTATGATTTTGTGCCCACTGCGGGGAGGGGGTGTCCTCACATACAGTCTTCCTAGCCCACATCTATCCAGCAGCCTCCAATCACCTGCTGTAATTTAAATTTATTTCCTCTTAATCCAGGAAAAGCTATGTATAAATCACAATGGAAAATACTGGTGACTACAACCCTTACGGCTTGATTGAGGTAATATATCAAAAATTTAAACATTCCTAATGCCCAAGGGTGTCTACCAAAATGATGTAGGGGGTATCTTAAACTATCCAAAACAATCATACATTGAACTTCATTCCCTTACATAGCCAAAATGAACAGTATTGATTAAAACAGCTGAACTTTCTAAACAGGATAGGAGGCTACAGTGCTTTAAATGGTAATCTTAAAAGTTGCATTGTGCTCTTCCTTTGTTTTGGGATAAATGTATACAGTACATAAAGAGATACTATAAGGAGGTTTATCTCTTAGGAAGTGCACTGAATCATGTATTTCTTTTACAGTGTAATATGGGGGCGGGGATATGCAAAAGAAATGTGTATTTTTGCTAGTTGCCTATCTTCTGAGATAAATAAGCACAATCTTGCAATGGATCCAGTAATCCAGTTAGATATTATAGAGTAGTATTTAAGTTTGCTGTAGATTGTATGTGTGTGCTAAGTAAAAGTTCCATGATTCACAGTTTTGGTATTAACCCATGTTGCAAAAGTTATTTTACTGGTCAACAGATGATAATGATGTGACTTATAACACAAGCATTAACGAGTCATTAACATTTGTAAAGCCAAATGTACCATGCAGAAGTCTTCATTTTTATAACAGACTACATTAAAACAAGTTAAATCATACTGTCTGGGGAAAAAGTAGTCTTGTTTGTACGAAGTGAAGAACGTTGCACAATTTGGGCATATTTTGTTGGGAAAGGAGTGGGTGGTGTAGAGCGAGCATTTGATCATGGCTCTGAAAAAAACAGATCAACTCAGTAACACATCCAGGTTAAACCTCACAAGAAACTAGGAAATTTGTTTTCTGTAGAACCTAAGAGCTGGAAAAAGCCTCTACAATAATCCTGTTTGTAACCTTTAAACTACCTAAGGGTTCTGGATCTTTCGAGATTCTTAGAAATCATAGATTTAGCCCCAGAAAAACAAATGTGCATATATGCAAGATTTGGTTGATGGCTTTACAAAATTCAAAGCCTCTGAAGCCATCCATGTACTCCAGCTTAAGAATGCCTGATGGGGGTAAGTGACATGGTGGTTAAGGCTCTAGATTCCACATAACTGACCACGGTTCCAGTCTCAGACCCAGTGGCTTGAAAATCACACCAGGTGCATGTGCGTGCATGCCCAAAATCCATAGGAGAATGGAGGAGAAGAGATTGTGGCATGACCATCCCCTCTGAGGGATGATTTCTCACTTTCCTCTCTTATCTCTCTCCGGCCAGAGTGCATACACACTATAGCAAAGACAAAACAAACAAAAGACCTGATGGAACGTCGCCCCATAGCCTCCGATTAGGGGAGCCTGATCCCACATGGCTGGCTGGTTCTAATCCTGGCCCTGGTGGTTTGAAAAAAACACCAAGCCCCAACTCCTGACAGGATGGAGAAGGGGTTGTGGCATGACCACACCCCACTGGGGAGTGTCTCATGCTCTCTCTCTTTTTCTTCTCTGTTTCATGAGCACATATGCCCGCACTTTACAAGTGACTAGTGCATCCCTGGCCTCCCAGTCCAGTGCTGTTGCTGCTGTGCAGATGCAAATTGTAGCCAAGGCACTTGGAGATCTTTGATGTACAAAAGATGTCCAGGCAGTGGATGTTTACTTATCTTAAGTTTCCAGCATTTAAGCCAATTAATGATCATTTCAACAAACACTAGTTTTATCTGTTTTCCCATAACAGTCTGTCAGCAATGCTGCCTTCTTGATTTGTGTGTGTATTAAAGTGGGGGGGAGGTTTCAAAGACAGAGTCCAAAACACTTTTTCAATCTTGTTTTGTTTTGTTTTAGCTCCAAATAAAACGTCACATGTGGCCTAGGCCTGTGGTCTCAGCTACTGAGAAGCAGAGGCTGGAGGATCCTGACATAAGCAAGACCCCGTCTTTTAAAATAATAAATTTTAGATGTTGAAAAGACATTACTGGGAGGTGTCAAAACCTGATCCCTGGGAACCAGCAGTTAGCGTAATGGCTATGTCGCTGGACTCCCACATAGTCGGCCACGGTTCGCGTCCCGGACCGGTGGCTTCAAACTCACGCCGGGTGCGTGTGCGTGCATGCCCAAGATCCCGAGAGGAGAATGGAGGAGAAGGGATTGCGGCGTGACCATCTCCTCTGGGGGGCGATTTCTCGCTTTCTGTCTCTATGTCTCTCTCTGTCTGGCGAGCGCACAGGCCCTATAGCGAAAACCTCTCAAAAAAAATAAAAACCTGATCCCTGGGGAGGCACCTACTTAATCTCACAGGAATCCCACAAACTCGATGTAATAGATACTAGGACACTAGGCTGTGCCACCCAGGCGCCCCTTCGGGAATGAAGGATTTACCTCCCTAGGTGCGGGAATGCTGGCAGTAACTGTCCCCAGCTAGAGCCCCTTACAGGAATTGCCTTCATTGGAAATCAGCGTGGCCAAGTTCCCATCTTCCTGGGGTACTTCACACAAAGACTGGTTGATGTGAGTTCATACTGGCCCCTTATCCCAAATCAGAAGAACTCTTTTTTTTTTCTTTCCTTTTATAAATTTTGCCAGAGGGCATAGTCACTAGTAGGGCACCCCCTAGTGGGGTGTGGTCACTCTGCTATCTCTTTGCCTTCACTTCATCCCATTGGGATTTGGGGCACACGCACATGTACCTGGAGTGTTCCTCAAGCCACCAAGATCTGACTGACTCTGGAGAATGCTGAAGAGTCATCCCAGCTTCAAAACCCCTGTAGGCTTGGTTGAGACCTTTACTGAGGCTGTGTTGTGGCTCAAGGCTTCCCTCCTCCCAGTCCTGCTCCCTCCTCTCTTCTGTTTCCTGGGTATGGATCCCAAGGGCATTCCCAAGTAAGCCTCCTGCATCCGGGTCCCTATCTCGGTCTACTCTGTTCCTTTAGAGGACATTTTTTCTGAGTATTTAAATGGTGCCAAGCTACTATTTTACATGCATTAACACTACTACAAGAGGTGGATTAGCCCTACTTGAAAGGCAAGGTGGCTAAGGCTGGCTGAGTCACAATGTCCAAGGTCCTACAGCATCGCAAGCCTGAGATTCAGTGTCACAGCTGGGATTCAAACCCCCATCCATTTGGCTTTCAGGTCCATGCTCCTCCTACTGTCCACACTATAGTCTCAAAGAAGTAATATACATTTGGGGAGTTTAGTGTTAGCTTACTGTTGGTCACATGCCTAAGCGTGAATTCACTGGTTGGTTAGCTCTTTTTTTTGAGAGGTTTTCGCTATAAGGGCGCGTGCGCTCGCCAGACAGACAGAGAGAGACATAGAGACAGAAAACGAGAAATCACCCCCCAGGGGGGATGGTCACACTGCAATCCCTTCTCCATTCTCTCGGGATCTTGGGCATGCACGCACACGTGCTCAGCGTGAGTTCTAAGCCACCGGGTCCGGGACGCGAACCATGGTTGACTACGTGGGAGTCCAGCGACATAGCCATTACGCTAACTGCTGGTTCCCAGCTCTTTTGAAACCTGTAGGTCAGAACACAACACTGAAAACTCAGTTTTGGTGAGGGGAATGGATGATTTACCTAGATATTCAATGTTAGCGCTAGGAAGTAGCCTCCTGACCCTTGATTCTAGCTCCTTTTGTTAGGTGGGGAGAACAAGCCCTAGAAAAGCCAGGTGGCTTGCCCAAGCTTCCAGGGCTGGTTCATGGCAGAGCCTGGCCTATTAGGTTTGTCTCCTGCCGCCTCCTTCCTCAGCTCACTGCTCCTCCCTCAGCGGGCCCAGCCCTGGCTGCTCCCCCCGGCCCGCCCTCCTCTCACCTGCTTCTCCTCAGTGTCTAGCTTTGATCTTGTTCACCTGGACTGCCCCAGAGTCCAGGCCTTGGCCTCTGCCTAGGCCTCCGGGCTGGCTGCCACGCTTGTTGCCACAAAAATCCCTTCCTCATGTCTCTGAACAGGTTTGACAGCTGGAGTGAGGTGGGGGTGGGAAGGATGTGGAATTTCTCCTCCCAGGCGGTGCCTCTGTCTGTCTAGCATCAGCTCTGGGCAGCACTTACTCATGGGGCATGTCTTGCTTGTCAGGGCGAACCATGGTTGACTACGTGGGAGTCCAGCGACATAGCCATTACGCTAACTGCTGGTTCCCAGCTCTTTTGAAACCTGTAGGTCAGAACACAACACTGAAAACTCAGTTTTGGTGAGGGGAATGGATGATTTACCTAGATATTCAATGTTAGCGCTAGGAAGTAGCCTCCTGACCCTTGATTCTAGCTCCTTTTGTTAGGTGGGGAGAACAAGCCCTAGAAAAGCCAGGTGGCTTGCCCAAGCTTCCAGGGCTGGTTCATGGCAGAGCCTGGCCTATTAGGTTTGTCTCCTGCCGCCTCCTTCCTCAGCTCACTGCTCCTCCCTCAGCGGGCCCAGCCCTGGCTGCTCCCCCCGGCCCGCCCTCCTCTCACCTGCTTCTCCTCAGTGTCTAGCTTTGATCTTGTTCACCTGGACTGCCCCAGAGTCCAGGCCTTGGCCTCTGCCTAGGCCTCCGGGCTGGCTGCCACGCTTGTTGCCACAAAAATCCCTTCCTCATGTCTCTGAACAGGTTTGACAGCTGGAGTGAGGTGGGGGTGGGAAGGATGTGGAATTTCTCCTCCCAGGCGGTGCCTCTGTCTGTCTAGCATCAGCTCTGGGCAGCACTTACTCATGGGGCATGTCTTGCTTGTCAGGTATGGACAAGAAGCCACAGAAGCCCTGAGTGTGTATCCACGCCCTGCTCAGGAGTCTGGCTTGCCATACCTGCCTGTGGAGGAGGGGACTGCAGAACAAGGAGGAGAGACAAGTGCCTGCTGTCCTTCCTCCTGGCCCCACCCCAATTCCAAAACAGGGCTCTGCTAGCAACCGCCTATGGCAGTCTCAGAAGACTTCCCTTCTCCCTCTCTGAAATGCCACCCTCTCGCCCCCTCTCCCCCAGCCCACCCAACCCAAATCCAAGCCTTCCAGGGTTGTCTGTGCCTCAGAGCAGACAAGGTGTCCTCAGGAAGACCCCGATCCAAAGGGATTTGGGGTGGTGGGGTGGTTTTGGGGTGGTGACCAGAGAACACACAGCCCCTTCATCCCTAACATGTTTTCCCTCTCCTGAGTCTTGGTGAGTCAGCGCCACAGGGCCACACACAAGGCTCTATTCAGGGCTCCTTTTCCCTCTGCTCTGAGATCTTGGCATCCCTCACTCCCTCTCCTCTATGCCGGCCTTATTCTCACCATGGGAAAGCACTGCTCCCTGCCCTGCGCCTCTGCACTTCCCTCAGCACCGCCTCCCCTACACACACACACACACACACACACACACACACGACACCCACAAACACGCAAGCACATCTTTTTTTTTTTTCCCTTGGAGAGGTTTTCGCTATGTGCTCGCCAGACAGACAGAGAGAGAGAGACAGAGAGCGAGAAATCACCCCCCAGGGGGGATGGTCACGCCGCAATCCCTTCTCCTCCATTCTCCTCTCGGGATCTTGGGCACGCACGCACACGCGCCCGGCGTGAGTTTTAAGCCCCCGAGTCCGGGCCGCGAACCACGGTCGACTCCGTGGGAGTCCAGCGACATAGCCATTACGCTAACTGCTGGTTCCCGCAAGCACATCTTCACCCTTGCCTCCTGGTGTCTGCAGCCCCGGCTGGATACAAACATGA